ACCACCCTGCCTATTCTGTTTATACTTTTCTTTTGAGACTGATCTTGAATTGGCTTCGTGGGATTCGGTTATTTATTCAAGAAAAGAATCCCTATGTGATAAAGGCAATCTTAATTCTCTGCTTTTCAGATAGGAGAGATATGAACTTGTCAGTTGCCTAACGTTAATATAATACATTTATTCGAAGCAAATACTACATAGGATTCCACCGCTCATCTTAAATTTGCTTTTCTAGATTAAGGGGATGTAAATAGAAAGAGGAGGGATTATCTGTGATTCTATCTTCTAATCCATTCATTCATTTATTTTATTTTATATTTTGATAATCCATTTATTCATTTCATTTTATTTTTTAATTTATTTTTTTTTCAATAGGAGTGGATAGGTCTGCCTGTCGACCGATCCATACTCTCCCGACCCATCTTTTGAACAGGTTTATCCCTTGTTACCTGTTTAAGATTGTGTTTCCGGTTTCTTCTTCTGAGGCCTTAATAAGAGTGACTGTCAAGACTTTCTAGGGATATGACTGGCCGGAGGCTATGACACTTCATCCTGAGGTTACCGGGTTGGCAGTGTCCTGGTTGCTGCATCCCGACCGGAGGCCGGACTCTTAGGTAGCGCATAGAGAGGCTGCTTTGATTAGGAGTCGCATAATATCAGGGATCTTGCAGTGCTATGTCGCGCATGCATGGATGAACCTGCAAGCACTTCCGGTGGGCAACCCAGAGGCTACACTATGTCGCTGTCTGCGCCAATTCCCAGCATATGTGCAGTTTCTTGCTTCCTTACCACCTACAATATTTAGAAATTTAAATGCAATGTCAATTGCAATCATCTATCTTCCTTAATGTTATTCCTTTATTGTCATTTCTCCTTACTAAAGTCCTCTCATTCTCTTTCACTACCTATAACTCCACTGCGTCCTCGTGGCATTATTGCCTTACTTGGGGTGAAATGATTAAAAAAAAAGGTTGTTTTCATCCCAGTCTGAGATATTTAATAACAGACGAGTAGAGATGAGTTCAAATTCCCGTTGAGTTCGTTATATTCACTTAGGCGCAAATACACTTGGGAAAGGTATGAATCCACCTCTTCTCCCACCAGCTATGGGTTAATTAGTAAGAATTGTGTCACTGTGTTATTATCTTCAAAAAATTCTTACAATCTAAAAATATTTTCTGGCTTTAAATAACCTGTAAAGGGTTGATAAACCGTAGAAAACGAATCAATCAATGAATAACAAAAGTGATGAAACAAAAAGAAAAAGAAACAAAATAGACTAAATGAAATCAGGTAGAATATATACCCAAAAATATATTTAAAAAAATAAAATAAATTTAAATTTAAAATTCTCAGTGTCCTCTCTCCTTCATGCGCATGTGTAGCCGCATCAATGCAAACTTCGCTTTAATCCAATGAAGTCCGAAAGGGCGAAACGTGTCAAACGAAAACTTTTTCCACTTTGTCATAGATTTCCCTGAAAAGTGTTCGATGTTTAATATCTCGCTTATAACCATTGAGTTGCAACTGCAAGTATCACAAATCTTTATTTCGTTGATCGATCTAGTTTGAGTCCGGTGATTGCTTAGTTGTTTAATGAGTGTTTCTGGATGCGCTTGAAGATATCACGAGTTCTATGGCAGGTAAACATAATCGACTTACTAGTGCTTCTTTTAACGCTGATATCGAGTGAATTGCGGGAAAGTGACATGTAGAGGCTGTTGAAAAGTTCATCAATTGCAGCTGGCGTGGTTAGTAAGTGTGTTGAGTCAATAAACCACTTTCCACGGTGAATCCAACGGAGATGTTTTAAACGAAGGCGTACAAGTATGGACATTTATTTCACATGACTATCTGTAGATTTTACAAGTATTCAAACTGGAAATAACCACACAGGACAGAAACAGAATAGAAAGCAACATTTTTTTTTTTAAATAGCATTGTTAATTAACCACTATTTCTGTTCTGAGAGACAATGACTTCATTGAAATGATTTAGTTATTCATATTAATACACAGAAAATATTAACCTTAAACAATACACGATGTTGTAATAATATGAGTGGATGGTTTAAGACATTGCATAGATTAATTTCTTAGATGAAGCATTGTCAATAATCATATTGTAGTTATGCTTGTCCCCACCATTAGTTAGTAAATTAACGGATGGATTATGTCATTAACTCAGATGGACTGTTCCGTTTTGACTGCAAGGAAAGACAGAAAAAAAATGACGCGGGCCGGTGGTACGCGTTGTGAGATAAACACGTGCGTCTCCTGAAATTGCCCACAACAAACATGGCGGACTCGGAATGAGTTCACCGAAAGAAATGTGAGGAAACAACAAGAACCGATATATATATATATATATATATATATATATATATATATATATATATATATATATAAACAAATTAATATGTATTAAACAACAAACGGTTACAAATGACAGACAGTAATGTGTGTGTACGAATGAATGTGGAAATTTTGTGTTCCAAAGTATGTGTGAGTGAATGTTAATGTTCGTACGTACGCGCGAGCGCGTGTGTATGTGTGTGTGTGTTGTTCATGGCTTTTCTGGCGTTTCCGGAAGGAAACGCATGGCGTATCACACAGCGGGGAAAAACGCAAATCTCCTGATTTAGATTTACATTGTTGTAGTGTCAGCTGAAAAATAAGGAAAAAGAGAGCGAGAAGAGATATCGCCGAATATATATAGTGTTGGAGAGCGTCCCCAAGTAGCGGTTTCAGAAATTAAGCGGAGGTAATTCCGACAAAAAGCTATACCAGAGACGCTATTTAGTTTTAGTGAATAAAAAGGCATGATTGAGTAATGGAGAGCCGAGTTCGAATTCCAGACGAATTCATTGCATTCACTTACGTGCTAATACCATTTGGAAAGGTATGAATCCTCTTCTTCTTCCCCCAGCTATGGGTAAATAGCAGGACAAACCAGGTTGCCTTGGATGGCAACTGGCCTACTGCAGAAAGATATGGCAAACTACTGCGGGAAAAAATCTCTTCAGCCATGTATCGAAAGATACATGATCTCGTGTAAGCGTGTATCACATATGACATTGACTGACTGAATGAAATAAAGCATTCATAATAAGAAGAAAAAGAAAAAAAGGAAGGGAAAATAGAGGTGATAATACTCTCATGAGGTTAACATCTGCCTCAGTGAAATGGAAAACCTTGTTAGTTGTATAACGATGAACTGTGTCCGGTAGCAATTCCTCTTTGTGGGAGATTGGAGGTTTGACGATTGTGGAACCTCCTCTTAATTGCTGTTGTTTCCAGGTCCACTCTGACCCTGGGTCGTAGCATCTGTTAGGGTCCCTGTCATGTGAACCCTCAAACAAGAACAAAGAACTATGAAAGTATAAAAATACATTTTATAGTAAAAATAACAACAATGCATTCTTATATAAAAAATGACCAACGGTAACTATAGTAAAATTACCAATACAGCAGTCAACATGAAAGGAGTCTTTCATGATAGTCCATATATTACTTAAAGAAATCGAACTGTATTCCAAAATATAACTTCAACAAAACTACAAAATAAAACACACCTATCACTGCCTCTAGTAATTATGTTCACATAATTATGTATATGCACAAAAGCTGAGTATCATCTACCATGTATTCAATTGTGAAAGCAGAATAACATATATCATATTTTTATTACTTCAAAGTTTCCAAGAAAATTATATTTTGGCATTAAATGACCCATAAGGAGTTGATATGCCGTTTAACAGACAAAAACCTTGTCAATTTTGAATCTTTGAATTTGTATCTCCTTACGTTTTTTTCTAAAGCAGAAGCCACTGAAGTGTTAACACAATTACTTCCTTTATTACTATGTTTCTTGTAATAAGTTCTTTTCAAAAAGATTTCCTTGGTTGCCATTCTTACTTTTGATATCAAACTGCTAAAAGGGGAAAACAATCTCAATTCACGCGTTGCTTATCTCAGTCATTTTAGAACTCACAATTTCAACAGAAGCTACTAACGATGCATTTAATCAATTCCTTATGTTTCTTGTAAATGTCTTGTTTTGAAGGAAATTGGCTTCATTGTATTTATTTACGATGCTTATTTTGAGGTTGTTTTTAGTTTTTGTACTGCAGAGCACTGCGTACAGCTGTCCATGAGAAAAAACTAGGTTGGTAAATATACATCAACATGAGGAAATGATTGACCTTGCGACTTGTTAATAGAATTACATACAGTGTGGCACGAAAGATTTAAATAAATGTATCACGGTAATTATTATATAGTGTTGATTTTCATCAAAAAAGATATTGAATTTATTATTCGATATAACATCGTGAATTATTATTACTCCTATCATTAACTTGAATTTATTATTGCATAAAACCTTGTCAGGTATTAATTTTTAATTAGTCTTTTTATCCCTTAATTTCCGTATCTGTTTTTTCACAACTTCTTGAACTTTTAATAAACATTAAGGTGGCTGTAAATCACAGGTTCGTGGATAGTAAAGAATGAAAAAGATTAGAATTTCTGCCGCCAATTGTCTTTTGTAGCCTGATCAGCAGAGCAGCTGTTGTGTTAAACGGGTTTCTCGAGATTAAAAAAAATTGAGTTCGCTCGGAGGAATAGTCTTTATTTCTCATCTACACCGTTTACCGACGAACGTTGACTAACTGCCATATAACAAACAACTAGTCGAAAATTAAGAATAATTGCCATTGCTTCATTACGCTATAGCATAACATCATTGATGTTGCTTAGGGGATACAAAAATACAAACCAAGATAGTTGCGTTATGACTATATAATAGTTTTAAAAGCTGTTTGTCAGCAATTAATTAAATGATAAAACCATAAGATTTTGTTATGTAAATATTTCCTTTTATTATTGTGTCGAGATCACTATCATCGAAAAATATGTGAAAGTGGGCAGTTAAAAGGAGGACAGGAAAAAGGTGTGCTGATTCTTGAAAGTAAAAAAGCTAATCCGCAAGTTGTTGGCTTATGGCCATATCACATCGAAACACAGGTTCCTGTACGATGACAAAAGTTAAGCAACGTCGAGCCTGGTCAGTACCTAGATGGGTGACAGCTTGGGAATGCCAGCTACTGTCAGATGGATGTGCGGTTAGTGCAATAAATAACGGATCGGAAATGGGAATCGGTGAGTCGAGTTCCAATTCCAGTCGAGTTCGTTATATTATGCGCAAATAACCCTGGGAAAGGTATAAATCCACATCTTCTCCCCCAGCTATGGGTCAATTAGTAGGGCTTGTATCAGTAAATCATGATTATCGCCCCAAAATTCTTACAATTTAAAAATATTTTCTGGCTTTAAATAACCTGCAAAAGATTGATAAGCCGTAAAAGACAAATCAATTAACGCTAGTTGTTAGCGCGAGTTTTTAGCGAATTGCGTGTTTAAGCTTGTTAGCAAGTAAATAGTAAGCGTATAATTTTCCCACCAGGCCACGCTTCTACTTTGTATCAGAGGAGCAGTATTAAAAATAATTTTAGATGGAGTTTCGATAAATAACAGAGCGCAAACACATACACACGTACACACAGAGACGTGTGTGCATTGTTGAAACAATGCACAGACGTCTATACCGCAATCGGGATTTGTTTAACTACTAACGCAATAGAAAAAGCGAATTGTAGCGTTTGATTTTTATATTCATAATCATCTGTTTTATTTGGATCTAATCACTCTAACATAGTTTAGTTGCCAGTTTTAAAGTAATATAACAGGAGAGAGCTATGGAAGAAAGGTTTGTTCTCCCATTTGTACCCCCCCTGTTATGGGCATTATTATATCTGTGGTATAATAACACCGTACGGAAGGAAATGGCTGAAAGAAAAAGGTATAACAAACATGCTTTGTTCTCATAGACACTTTTATACTACTAAGACATACACAAACCTATATATATATATATATATATATATATATATATATATATATATATATATATATATATATATATATATATATATATATATATACATGTCCCATGCAGAGAATAATATACCAAATATATCTACACAGCGATCAGAGTGTAAAGACAAACAAAAAGGAAGTGTCTTGAATATAATATGGAGATACTTCTGTGTCTGGAGAAGCCATATTTAGGACTCCTGATTCAAACGGGTCGGATTCATCTACTATGTCCCAGGCGAGGACATATTCCACGAAGGAGAAATGGCGAGTCTTGGGTTTTTCCAAAATGAGGACTGCGAGCCGAGGTTTCTTTCTATATCTGAGAAAAATATATTCCCCAAAAGAATCGCCACCTTAGCCATGTATGCTGTAGCATTTTGCAGCTGGCTACCCTGGGCGAAATCCCGGGCAGGACGAACAAACACGTGCGTCTTGACACAAATAAGCTTACTGATTGAAGTTGACTGCCGCTTTCGTCACTGTATGTATACGTCACGTGACCCGTGTGACAACACCATCAAAGGGAGATAATAGCCTTTTGTATCCCTACAGTGAGAAACACTTTACCATTGTCTCCAAACATCACTAATGTTACATTATAGACTAGTACCACGCCGAAAAAATAGACACAGAAACGGTTAGATTCGAACCGAGATCAAGGAATACCTTTAACCTTTTCTCACTGACTCGCAGACTAGCGGCATAAATGTATTTGCATTTCAAAATTTTGTTGCTATCTGTACAAAAGTCTAATAAAAAACAAACAAACTTTAGATGAGATGAATCTATAATTGAAAATGGCATTTTGGTTGAAATATTCAACATGGCTGAAGGGTTCTTTTTTAAGGGTACCGACAAAAGAGATCAAATAAAATCAACCTAAGTATGCCTGGAGTATCTATGTAAACAAGTGAATTAGACATCCAACAATTTTTAAAGCAACAAAAAAATAATATATATATATATATATAATGGAATTTTCTAAAACGTACATGTCAAGCTGGGAGATCTAAGATTTATTGCTATTGTTAAACTATCAATAAACGCGAGAGGGGCAGCTTAGTCAGAAGCGGCCAGTCGATATGAAGCTTGGAGACGGTCTGGCTTTAGGCCTGGACGCACGCGCATGTCGCGTTCGGATGCTGCTCACCCGGCAATTTGACTGGCACGAGAACATTCTGTCTGAGTCGATGCGGGACACTGCAGTCTATGTAATTTTCGTCGAGCAATTTATCCAACTTTATTGGAGAAAAGAAAGCTTCTCTTAAAGAGATAAATGCGTAATTTTAGGCGAGACGAACTATAGCATCTTAAAAGAAGAACGGCAGAAAGAAAGCACGTCGAAGAAATAAAAAAAAGACACGGCGAGGAAGAATAAAGAAGACATTTCCTTGAAATTCGTTAATTTCGAGACGAACAACGACAACAACAAAGAAAGAAATGTAAGAAGAAAGAACAAAGAAAGAATTGAAAAAAGAATGAGAAATTAAAAATTCCTTGAACGTCAGAGAAGGAAATATAAAAATATACTGTGAGAAAAGAAAGAAAGGAAGAAATCATACAAAGAAGCGAAAGGAAAGAAATTTACCTTAAAGTAAGAATAAAAGAAAGAAATAAGTAAAGGAATTGACAAAAAGAAAGAGAAAGAAAAAATCATAACGGTTGAAAGCGAATAAACCCGTCATCGAACCGTCTAATGATAACGGTAATATTAGCTGTTTCCCTGTAAGGAAACATTTGGCATTCAGCAGCCAGTACTGTTTTCGATTGAAATTTATAAAATTTTTCACTCAAAATACTTTTCACAAAAACAGGTTTCTAATATCCAGTAACTGTTATTGTTTCTTTCCAGTAGTGATGGAGATTTCCTTCCTAAGAATCTATTTAAAGTGCAGTGGAATGAACTTAGTTTTGTTTTGAGTTGTATGTGCTATTTATAAGAGTTGTTGCAACTGTTCCCAAGTGATGTGGTTTCTGTTATTTGGTATAGTTCTTTGTGTTTCTCTAACGCCAGTCCAGTATGTTCAAAGAAGGATAAACTTTGCCAAGCTTTACTCATTGAAAGCCTTTTTCTCTTTTGATCTTACTGAGTGGCTATATGTAGCTGACAGTTTAGATATTTCTGAATGGATTTGGCGCCATACCTGAAATCCATATAAAATTCTCGATCTGACGGGGCTATTTAAGAACATAACTCGAGTTTTCAGGTTGATGTTCTAGTTTTGTAGCAATTTGCATTATTGGTCGAAAATGTCTCTGGTACAGTCTATTCTATAGTCAATTTATTTTTCTTTACTAAATTTCTTATAACTGGACCATACGCTGAGGTATCTGAAGTGTTTAGTACTTACTAATTCCACATCCTGTATTTGATGAATTCAGGGTAGGTGTCAACATGGCTTTCATCGCAATTCCAGATCGCAGTTTCTATTTTGGCAAGGTTTATCTTGAGAGTCCCATTTCTTGGATAATTTGACAAAGGATGCTCGTTTTTCTGTTCAATAACATTCTTATCCTAATTATAAACACCTATGTCATCTGCATACTTTACTTATCATCTTTCCTCGGGAAGGATAGCATCATTGCTGTTTTCTATTAGTAGATTTGTATAGGGTGCGGTATGGAATATTAAAATGGTCAGTGCCCATCTCATTACATCTTCTGTATTTGTAAATGTCATAGCCTACGAAGAGATTAAATAGATTGGGGCTCTCATTTCCTCCTTGTCATGCTTCTGGTGATGTCTGAAATGTTTCCGTATTGGGCTCCGCGCCAAATGAAAGGAAAATCTTAATGGTAATAGGGAAACATGTGGCATTAATTGGCCGAACAGCTAGTGATACTATCAGTTGAAATTTATAAAATCTTTCTCTTAAAACATTTAGGAAAATAGGTTGCCTGTGTCCAGTAGCTGTTATTGCTCTTTCCAGTATTGATGGGGGTTTCCTTCCTCATCTTTCATTTGAAGTTGTGTGGAATATCAATATCATGTTTATGTTATTATTTTCCCTTTGAGTTACATGTACTATCCATTTTAGTTGTTGCTACTATTGAAAGTCTTCAAGTGATGAGGTTTCTTTTTATTTGGTATAGTTCTTTGTGATACTGTAGCGCCAGTCTATGACATACGAAGAAGGACGGCACTCGTCATAGTAGGGACTTCAGTAAAGAGGGGAAGGAAAAAACAAAGCACATAAGAAGAAATTAAAAAGAAATGTTGTGTCCCTTCTGGACGTAGGCGATCATTGCTCTCCACATAATCCTTTTTTTTTTGTTATCTGTGAATAGCTTATTGGTCAAAATAGTGGAATGGTTTCCCTTTGCTTTCTTCCCGCTTTTGAATTCTTCTAGATTGGCTGCCAACCAAAATAGAGATTCATTCTACTCTGCTATTTAAACCCTAGCTGGGAAGAAATGGAGCCACGTCTTTCTTAAAGTGAAGTGATCGCAACAGATTTGGACGGATCTGGAAGTTAGCTCGGCCGGTCCACGCCGACAACCATGACGGCACCCGCACGTAACATGTGAAGAGATTAGAATTGGGAAACAACAGAACAAACAAAACTTCGGAAAGAATTAGCAGTTTAACAACGGCTACCGCGCACCAATCACCAAGGAAAAGAAAACTAAATAAAAATGAAAAATGTTCCAGTTGGCATGAGAATAAATATCAAGTTAAAGATTTCTCACTCATTCATATCAGACCCGGATTTTGTTGGCCTGTCCAAAGTCTTTAACAATTTTTTTAATATATGAACGCATTAAGCATTACATTTCTTTCGGTCATACCGCGAAATATATTCTGTTTTTAGATCTTACTGGACTACCGTTGGGTCACTGACGGTTCAGGTTATAAAATATTGAAGTTGATTTCAACATTAAAAAAATTGTCTGTTTGAAGAGAATTGAAATAAAAATACTTACCGTATAAATAGGTACCTTCGTGAAAATCGATAGCATGACAAGAACGTCCTGAAACTTGATGAATTTTTTTTTTATTTCTTAAATGTATATTTCATTATTAAGAAGAAATACCAAAGTATTTCATGATTAATTTTTGAAATTTTTTTAATCGTTCTTAGCATGTCCGAAATTTTAGTTAAAATTTTATTTTTTAGCGAATTTACTAAAATAACTCATCTCAGCCATTTTTTAAAAATGTTGTAAACTAAA